GGCCCCTACCTGTACTGTAATGCAACTAAATAATCATCATCATCTTTGTATTCATGAATGCTAGGGGAATGGTTGGTCATAGGTCAGGCCCTACCAAATTCATGGTCCATTTTGGTTAATTTCACAGTTATAGGATTTTAAAAAAAATCATAAATTTCATGATTTCAGCTATTTAAAACTGAAATTTCACAGTGTTGTAATTTTAGGGATCCTGAGTTGTGGAGGTTCGCAAGGTTATTGTAGGGAGGGTTGCGATACTGCTACCATTACTTCTGTGCTGCTGCTGGTGGGGTGTTGCCTTCAGAGCTGAGTGCCCGGCCAACAGCCGCCACCCTCTATCCCCCTAAAATAATCTTGTGACCCCCCTCTGCAACTCCCTTTTGGGTCAGGATGCCCAATTTGAGAAACGCTGGTCTTCCCCCATGAAATTTGGTCTTTGGGGTGTTCTTACCATATACTATACACATTTCATGGGGGGAGACCAGATTTCACAGCCCGTGACATGTTTTTCATGGCTGTGAATTTGGTAGGGCCCTATTCATATGAATACTTGTATATGCAAGCAAACAAGGGTATTAATGTGCTAATAAATATATTAGCTATTCATTATTCACTGTGCATTATTCTCTATGCATTATTAACTGTTTGAAAAGTTTCAGTTATCTAGTCAGTAAGTAGAAGCAATACCATATCTCTTCAGTGATCAATTATACTGCATAAAATAATCAATAGAAATAGTCAAAATGAGCAGTTCATGAACAACTGAAAGGCTGAAAATTTCTTATTCAAAATATCCTGCAGATAATTAACAGTATCTAATACATTTGCAGAAATCATGGTATCCTCACAACTAATTTGTAAGCAGAAAAAATAAGGGATAATTTCACATGGTCTGTATTATTTTGGTGTAATAATACAGAGATCGAATCAAATATTCATGTCTGAGAGACTTATTCAAGTGTGTTTAAAATTTAATTCACATGTAAAGTCTGTGCAGATCATATGACACGATGTGTTTTACATCTGTTTTATGCATGAGGGTCCCAATTTTAATTATTTTGGAGAACATATCTAAAACACATTAGAACCACATTTAGATCACAAGATACACATAAAATCCAGAAATAAACCACGTCATTGACCTACATTCTAGATAATGAGGAGATATGTTTTGACTCATGCTTTGCCCAACAAAATACATTTAAGCCCTAATTGTACAAACACTTGCACAAAATAGTTACTTTTACTCACATGAGTACATCTAAGTCCGCACATAAGTCTATGTAGGATCAGGGCCTTATTTTCTCTGAGCCCACACAACTGTGCATTTCAGAAGTACATGTGAAGGAAAAACAGAATAGTTGAAGTCAATTTAAAGTCAGAGAAGCATGCACATCACACACCACACATATTATAGTACTGATGATAAACAGGACTGCATTAAAAATAGACAATGAAAAGCAGTGGAAAAATAAGGTTCAATTTAATAAATTCTCTAGCCAGACCTATCTTGAGCACAGAATCCGAAATTTCTCATTTCAATTCCCTAAAATTGTTTTTTGGATTATTGCTTCACTGGAGCTGCAAGATGCAACGTGGACTGACATATCTGTGACAGAAGGCTCTGCTATGGAAGGGAGCTCTCTGCCAAATGACAACTCTCATGCTCACTATAACCAGGATAGCATGCGGCTGAGCAAAACTTCTTTTATACCCTTTTTCTCCTCCCCTACCCACCCCAAAATCTTTTCATATTGTGGTTTTAGTAATCATTTTCATAACAAAATTATAAAGGAATAAGCTTTTAAAAATATCTTATTTTAATGTGATACCAATGGCCATGCATTTTTTAAAAAAATTAAAACTATTTCTTTAAGGGAAAGAGAACCAATAGTAGTTTTGGGATTTAAATTAAAGTTCAGAGAACCCTGAACCATAGGTATTATCATAAACTAATTGTTACCAACAGAGATGAGCCCCAGCTAACACCCCCCCCCCACACACACACACACCCAAGATCCAAGTATTCCCTGACTACTTGGAAAGCTAAACTCCATATTCAGATCCCAACTTCGTAGCTTCGAGCATGGGTGATAAGATAAAGTCAGCCACATGGATTCCCTACATGTTCCAAGATTCCTTGCAGATGGTCATTACCTTCTCAAATTCAAAGGAATGACATGTTGCAATGAGCCCAAACCCTAGGAAGCTGGAACTTCAGCACAGGCAGGAAATGAGAACGAGCTTCCAAGGTGGTTGAAGAGGATGACTTCTTAAGGTGAGAACATTTACTTTCCTCACTGCCATGGTCATCCAGCTGTGTGCCTACAGCGTGGCCAGAGAAAAATTAGAGAGAACAGCCAGCCTGCAAGACATTCCCCGTTAGCACCTAGAAAGTTTATGCCCTTTTGGCATCTAAGGTGAGGACCTGAAGTCCTGGGCAATGGACTCTTCTGTAGCTATATTATGATGACATGACATTATAACAGCTCAGTTCTTGGAGTCTGAACTCCCATTTGTAATTAGTTCAGTGAACATGAACAGGTCTGCTTTTAACCCTTGTTCTGCTTTAAATTTCTATGCATCAAATGTTCAATGCAGATTTCGCATTCCTTTGGTGGATGTGCTTGACATCATTACCCATTTTTCAGGGAAAATAAAAAGTCAATAGTGCTGATATTGCACTGCTGAAGTAATGGGAAAGGATATGCCACTGTGCTACAATCTCTTTGTGAGTGAACAGGGAAAATTCTCAGTCTGTTTTCTGTCTTTTGAAATATTCATATATCACTAAGTCAACTATGTGTTTTTGAGTCCCAATCTGAAACTTCATTTACTTTTCCTTCTTATTTTTGCTTGCCAGTTACACAGTAAACCCAGAGGTCTGCATATTTTAACTTGATATTTTCTGTTTTGTCCCCCTAGGTTGCTTTATACCTTATAGATAAGAAGAAAATGTATTCAAATTGTTTTTGTTATGGAAGCTATACCAGGTTAGACCGTAAGGGACAAATATTAAAGAGAAAGGCAAGTCTCTTTGTGAGCTGGTTTCCAATATGCTACGTGTATGTTTCTTTTCTATTGTCTTCAATGTACTTCTGGAATGATTTCAAGAATATTTCAGGTTATCTCAAGGCCCATAGACAGGCAGCGAGAAGCAACAGAGATCTGAAGTTATGACTTGAAAGTGTCTCTCACTGCATTTTGCAGTTTCTTTCAGGATATCAGAATTGGAACTGCCTGCAGTGAACTGTGTGCATGTTAAGAGGGTGTGCATTTTTTCTTGTCTTCAGCAGCTTTAAGTGTATCTACTCCTTATTTTCTATAAAAGCCATTGCTAATTCAAATACACACATTTGTAGGCAAGACAAATACACTTTGCTGGTTTTCACAGATCCTTTTTTCCTCACCACTCGTAAGTATTCAGATATTTTGCAAAATTTTGTACAAAAAATGTGTGCATGTGCGTACGCACGCACACACACGGACCCAGAAAAATCTTTGCACGTAAATAGTTGCAGGAATATTCACACTAGAATGGCTTCTGCTGCCATGATGTGAGTGCGAAGGGTAAGAGAAAGGCAGGAGTGAGGTTGTTGGAGAGGTGCAGAAGGAAAATTGAAAATAGTTGCAGCAGCAGCAGTAGCAATAAGGTGATGAAAAAATTGCACATTACAATCAGCATCACAACCAGGAGAGGCAGCAGTCCTTGCCAGTAAGTTAAAGAAGTATGGGCTGGAAGAATGGACGATAAGGTGGATAGAAAGCTGGCTAGATTGTCGGGCTCAACGGGTAGTGATCAATGGCTCCATATCTAGTTGGCAGCTGGTATCAAGTGGAGTGCCCCAAGGGTCGGTCCTCGGGCCGGTTTTGTTCAATATCTTCATTAATGATCTGGAAGATGGTGTGGATTGCACCCTCAGCAAGTTTGCAGATGACCCTAAACTGGGAGGAGAGGTAAATACACTGGAGGGTAGGGATAGGATACAGAGGGACCTAGACAAATTAGAGGATTGGGCCAAAAGAAATCTAATGAGGTTCAACAAGGACAAGTGCAGAGTCCTGCACTTAGGATGGAAGAATCCCATGCACCGCTACAGACTAGGGACCGAATGGCAAGGCAGCAGTTCTGCAGAAAAGGACCTAGGGGTTACAGTGGACGAGAAACTGGATATGAGTCAACAGTGTGCCCTTGTTGCCAAGAAGGCCAATGGCATTCGGGGATGTATAAGTAGGGGCATTGTCAGCAGATCGAGGGACGTGATCGTTCCCCTCTATTCAACATTGGTGAGGCCTAATCTGGAGTACTGTGTCCAGTTTTGGGCCCCACACTACAAGAAGGATGTGGAAAAATTGGAAAACGTCCAGCGGAGGGCAACAAAAATGATTAGGGGACTAGAACACATAACTTATAAGGAGAGGCTGAGGAAACTGGGATTGTTTAGTCTGTGGAAGAGAAGAATGAGGGGGGATTTGATAGCTGCTTTCAACTACCTGAAAGGGGGTTCCAAAGAGGATGGATCTAGACTGTTCAGTGGTACCAGATGACAGAACAAGGAATAATGGTCTCAAGTTGCAGTGGGGGAGGTTTAGGTTGGATATTAGGAAAAACTTTTTCACTAGGAGGATGGTGAAGCACTGGAATGTGTTACCTAGGAAGGTGGTGGAGTCTCCTTCCTTAGAAGTTTTTAAGGTCAGGCTTAACAAAGCCCTAGCTGGGATGATTTAGTTGGGGATTGGTCCTGCTTTGAGCAGGGGGTTGGTCTAGATGACCTCCTGAGGTCCCTTCCAACCCTGATATTCTATGATTCTAGCCTGATATTCCTAGCCTTGGATGGATGGATAGCCAGCTGTGTGCCAGACAGTGAGGAGTGGGAACGGTCACCTTGGAAGAATCTTTGTTTCCACCGAAGAAGTAGAGTCCAGAAATGTATGCTATTGTTTAACCAGATGGGATCACCCTCCAGAGGATGTAGGCCAGGTACAGCCCGTGACGACAGCACTGACGAGAAAGGGGATACAGCAAGCAGCAGGAACCCAATGCACTAAAGCAATTAAGCATGTTCTTAACTTTAAGCTTGTGCTTAAGTTCCCTTGACTTCAATGCAAGATAGGCATGTGTTTAAATATTCTTTTGAATCAGGGCCTAGTTGAGTGGGGATAGAGAAGAGTAGGTAATAGTGGTAATGACCTACAGACGGCCTTTAATGCTGGTGTTGACTGAGTAAGACCACTTGTCATTTCTGGGCATTTCTTCGGATGGCAAGAGAGTGGAACCTTGATCACTGTGAAAGGGTTCTTCAGGAAAGCAGACATCTCTCCATGAAGCAAAAGAAGGAGCTGGAGGAAAGCAAGATGCTATGTGTGATGTTATCTGATAAAATATGACCACGTAGATCATTGTTGCTACTACTGTTATATAATTGCAACAAATCTTGTACAAAGTAGTCAAGTAAGGTGTCTATGGAAAGGTTATGATTTGCTGAATATGATTATGCTATTTGTATGCATGTATCATTTTTGCATGTGAAGTTATGAGTATTGGCTCTATACCTGTATTTCAAATATGTTTGTTCTTGTGGCAATGACCACAAGGTACTTAGCCTGCACATCCTGAAGGGACTATTCAAGTTAAATGGCTCACAGTGGGCCATGGAAGATGCCTCTCTACACTTAATGGACTTTTCTTTGATGGCCTCTGCTATGACTAAGCAAAATCATGCATGGACATGTGTATGCAAAAACCCTCTTGTTACCTGCAGATTTCCACAGTGAGAACAATAGATTTCCCTTCACTTGGCAGAAGCTATATAAGGCCCTGGAAACAGTTCAATTTTTCCTCTTTCCTACTCAAACCTCTCGACCTTGAACTTGTACTAATGTGAGCATTCTAACCAAGGGACTGAGGACCTTCCAATGATTTGGCAGCAAGCAGAGACTTAACAAGCCAGCAGTTTATTCCTTCACTGCTACAAGCCTGAACCAATAACTTTGCAATTATTTTATATATTTGATTCCTTTAACAATTTTAACTCTCACTTTTTTTTGTTTCTTTTTTATAAATAAACCTTCAGATTTTAGATACTAAAAGATTGGTAACAGTGTTTATTGGGTAAGATCTGAGTTATATACTGACTGGGTATGTGGCTGGTCCTTTGGGATCAGAAGAACCCTTTTCTTTCATGAAATTGGTTTAATAACCACTCATCATTAAGTCTAGTGTTTTTGGTGGTGATACAAGGACCGGAGTGCTAAGGAGACTGTTTTTCTGACTTCTTGTTTTCCAGTGTGGTGAAACAGAAGTGTGTCTGCCCTATTTCTCAGCAGTTTGTCCTGAATTTCATATTCTCAGTTGTGACCCACAGACGCACGATGACACTATGTACAAGCTGGCACTTGTATTAAGAGCAGGTTTGAAGTTGGGGCTAGCTTGGTGGTGGTTTTTGTTCGGTATGGGACAAGCATAACTTTTCCTCTAAAGGTGACCATCTTTCCTGGGATTAGAAGGTAAGGGCTAGAGTATATCCTGGACCTCGTCAAAAAAGGGAGAACATATGCTCTGATCCTGGTGAGATTCACTGGAGATCCTGGAGATTCACTTCATTTACCTTCTTTGAAAGAAGGGAATGTGATATACTACTTTATTTAATTTCCCTTAAAGAAGAGAGACTTCTTTGTTTCTTCTCCCTGAAACACAGGGCCAGCATTGGCTGAACTCCCCCAAGAGCAAGGAAATAGTGTGTTTCCAGTACTCTGAAGGACTGCCTTTGTTTTTCTCCTCAAAGCCAAGGGAATAGCTTTTGTTTATCACTGAGAGACAAGAATAATAGTTTTTTCAAAAACCTTGAGAACTGGGGCACTGTTTATTGTAAATTGTAAACATAAAAATAGCCCCATTAGCCCATCAGACCACATGGTGCCCTGATTCTTCAGGAGGTCAATAGCTCAAAAAAGGTGACGTCCTCTGGTGACCAAAATACACAGTATTTTAGCATGAAACTCTTCACAGTACATCCGTCTGTCTCAAGTAACCTTCAAACGTGATTCCCCCCTCACAAAACACAACCAAAAACACTTCACATCAGTTCACCAAAGAGACTGAAAAAATAAAAAAAAAGTGAAATTTCTTCCAAAGAAACTGTCTAAAAATATAATAATACATTCAGCGAAACACACATCCCACTGCCAAATCTATAAAAACCCACACATGCAAAAACTCTGTTAATGAGAGACATCACACTGGCTGAAGATTGAAAAATAATAATGAGTCAAACTTTTTTTTTTTGCTTTACATTTTTCAGGCAGTGAAATAATTCTAAAATGTTTCAATGAAATATTTGAAATCAGAGTCATTTAAATTGCAAAAGCATTGCAAGCATTTTTAAAAAAATTAGCAGCAAAAGCAAATTAAAATGTGTTGGTTTACTTCTTGCAAGCCTCAGTGCCAGAAAGTTTCCATGAGAACCAAAGCTGTACATCAGTGTCACTGTCTTGCCTGAGCCAATCTGTGCCTTGCAAAGTGAGATCACAGATAGTTTTCAATGGTCCAATTCAGGTTGCCCCCTGGATCCTTTTACTGCAACAAAGACAATCAAAAATGTCTCTCAGTGACCTAAACACAAAGTTTTGTCAGCAATAGGTCCTGTATAGGCCTAGCTTCTTGGATTACAGTAGAGGGAAGAACCTTTTCCCTATCCTGGCTTCATCCAGGAAGTGCTATTTGATAGGAGCAACCAGTTCTTTTTATTTGGCCAGCTGGGCTTTGACTGACTGCTGCCTGCTCCCAGCCCTTCTAGCTACCACAAGACAAGTGAGACATTTCTATGCAAACCAAAAGGTCCAAAACTTCCTGTTCTTCTCTTCTTCAAGGACCACTTTCTGAGGCAGGATGCAGGAAGGCAGTGCAGTCTCTGGCAAGGGGGAGTGAATGCTTTGTACCCCCCATCACAATCAGTTTCAAACATAGTCATTAAGGTCCCAGTCCTATAAGGATCTTTGTACAGGTGGATCTCTGCATCTGCATGATATGGGACTAAGAGCATGAGTTAATTCCTATTAAACAGTAGTAGTTGCTTATAGAAATCAGGGGAGTCATTGGAACACTAAAAATTAACTACAGCACACCAGGCAGGACTGAACTTCCTGCTAAAACCCCCAGATCAGATCAACATCATAACAACATACAATATAACAATTTAACACTAAGATAAAGATACTGCACCATCTGTTGGTGGAGGTACTGAATACACTGATCATTACAATACTCACTGAAAATTCTGCCAGTGATTTCAGTGGGAGCTGGACTGAGGAAAGCACTCCATTTCACATTTAAGGGCATAAAATGGTATTTGGGCATATGAGTGCTAATCTGAGTGATCGAGTAGGGAATTCAGTACTGTAATTTAGTTGCTCAAGTTTAAACAGTGCTCTCACATTCTTTGGTCGCAAGACTTGCCATATTGGCTCTGACCGCTGGTGAAGCCTCAGAGTCATGCTCTGCTCATTACTATGCATAGAAAGTCAGATCACATTGATCGTGAAAAAAAATGCCATCTTTCACCTTTAGCTTCCTAGGGAAATTTTCCCTTCCTCCTGGACAAGAACATACAGTGACCCATGCATACTTTGTCTTCAGATTGGGCTACTGTAACTCCACATGATAACTAAGGCCATGTCTACATTACACAGTTTTGACAACAAAAGTCAGCTTTCATTGACAAAACAATGGAGGTGTACACACTGCAATGCTCCTCCCGCTGATTTAACTCACCTGCTATGCCAACATAATAAAACCACCTGGATGAGACACATAGAACTTTTCGCAATGAAGTTAGAGTGACGCAGTATCTGTGTAGACACTGTGTTGCTTATGACACACTAAGTGGATTCTAGAAGTTGTCCCGCAATGCCCATTATGACTGCTTTGGTCAACAGTTTGATCTCTGCTGCCCTGCACAGAGGTACACAGGCTTCCCCTTTAAAGCACTGGGGAATTTTTGAAATTCCTCTTTGTGTTTGCTCAGCATGGAGAGCTCACATAGCATCTGCCCAGCTGACCATGGCGGCTCCCGGCAGCAAATGTGCTGCCACCTGGAGTACACAGGAGTTGTTGGACCTGCTGGGTCTGTGGGAACAGAAGGCTGTGCAGTCGCCGCCTCGCTCCAACCATAAGAACTTTGATACCTCTGGGCAGACTGCTCATGGCATGGAGGAGAAGGGGCATGCAGCAATGCTGTGCTAAGATCAAGGCGCTGAGACAGGCATACCAGAAGGCAAGTGAGGCCAATCATCAGTCTGGTGCATCACCAAAGACATGCCACTTCTCCAGGGAGCTGCATGCCTTCCTAGGCAGCGACCCTACCTCCACTGCCAAGAGCCCTGTGGATACAGCGTCCAGAAGAGTCAACCCGAAGGACAAAGTAGTGGACAAGGAAGTGGAGTTGGAAGAGGATGGGGGACAGGTGACAGAGTCAACCTTTGGTGTGGTGAGCCAGGACCACTTTTCAACGCTGGAGGGTCTAGCCAGTCCCAGCACTCTAGCTGTAGTGCACCTGATGCAGGAGATGGAAGCTCCCATAAGTGCTCATTGTGATTTGATACTGCAGGGAGACATGAAGTAGAGCTTTTTATTTTTTCCCCCAGGGTGGAAGAGGGATAGAAATAACCAACACCAGGACTGTTTGCATTTGCTTCTCATTCCCCTGTGCAGCTAGACAGAGGGGGCCCTGAGGAAAAGTTTGTCGATGCACAGTGAGATATCCCAGGAATTTTCCATAGAGGTCTCTAGGAAACTTTCCAGGAGGTACTCTGCAATCTTCTGTCAGGAGATAAGGTGGATGAGGTGATAGCTTTTATTGGATTACACGGAGCTCTTCTGAGGATGTTCTGGAATCAGCATAACTACAACAAGAGTTCATTTTCTCTGGGAGTAATTTTGAATGATAACAACTGATATAGATCATGTGGAACAGAATTTCCAGCCAAAATTAGTAGTATCATCATCCTTATTAATGTATATTGCATTGGATGAGAGAGAGCGAGAAGAGAAATAATGAAAGGGTGGAGATTTTGTAAGTTTTTTGTTGAGTATTTACTGAAATGCTATCATATTGAGGAAACTGCATATGGTCGATGTTACTTTTGAAACAAATAAATTTATACAATCAAACTGAGATGAAATATATTACTGAATAATAATAATAAAAACGTTCTTTCATGAAATAGCCTGAAAAATACCTTTTGTTATTTCACAGAACTGTAGAAGAGAGGACTCATGGCTGGCGCACCCCCCTCGCAGCTGGGCATGGTGTACCAGGCTCTCCTCTTCCAGTGCCCCTTGCACTTGATTGCTTTGGGTCCTGCTGTGGTCCACCTCTTCATGATTCAGCCCTTTGGTCACATCACATTTTAGACCCACTCCTTTGGGAGTAACAGAAAATCCAACACAATTTCAAGACCTAAAGCTTCACATTCAGGCTACGTATAAATCTTGAAGATTGTTTCTGCATAACATCTGTAAGATACAGCCTTTCCTATTCATCCACACAGCTAAAACGCTCAGTTTGATTACTGCAACATCCTTGACTCTGGCTTGACAAATGCAATCTTGTCTCACTCATACCCATTCCAAATACAGCTGTAAAGATCATTTTCCTAGCCCATCACTTTGGTACAACAGAGAAGGGGGAGCCAGTGGAGGAATGCAACGAGAAGGGTGATGGTCAAATATAAGCTGTTTGTAGTTGTTTACAAGGATCTTCACAGTTAATCCACAACCTACCTATCATCTCTCATTCACTAATAAGCTATTACTGTTCACCTCTGATCAGCCACCATGCCAGCTTTCACTCTCTTCTTCTTAAACACCTTCTGTGCTTAAACACCTCCCATGCTGCTGCTCACACTTGAGAAGAACTGCCCATAAGTAACTGCAGAGGACACCTCGTTATCTACCTATAAAACCCTCCTCAAAAATTCTGCTTTTCTGTGATGCCTACAAAATACCTAATGATGGTTAGGTTTTTGGTGTGCAAAGACCACTGCCTATCATGCTAACCAATATTGTCTCATTGCTTACCTGGACTCCCACATCAGGCTGTATTGATCAGTTGTCTCCTGTCTTATACATAGGTTGTAAGTGTCTCAGGGCAGAGACCATCTTTTCGTTCTGTGTTTGTATACCACCTCACCTAATAGGGGTCTGGTCCATGGTTGTTCATCCTGGTCCACCTACAGCTCCTAGGTACCAGGGTAATACAAAAAATGAGTGGTGATGATAATAGTAACAATATGTTTAAATGTACATTTTCTTTAATACTTTCTTAAATCTGGGCCAGAGTGGATTTAGTTCAGATCTTTACTCATGACTGAAAAATGCTCAGAGTAACTGAAGAAAAAGAGCTGTATACTCCCATGATCCTAGAGCTGTTCTGTGCTGACCCAGTCCACAGGAACAAATCTGAGGAGCCTGTGGATTATTCTAATTTGTACCACATGCCAGCAGTCCCAAGCAGCCACTGTGGCAGCTGTGTCTAATAGTGCACAAGGACATGCTGACCACAGCTCCTTTCCCCAGTCACGCTTCCCCTGCCAGAAACATGGAATGTAGTAGCATAGGTGCTGCTATGGTCATTCTGTTCCACTGAGATTTCTGCTAGGCTCGGGAGACGCCCTGTTGCCATTTTAGATGTCTTGAGAGCATCTTTGCACCTGCAGAGTATTGCAAAATTTGTCTAACAGGCCAGGATGTGGCCCCTTGTTTAGGTTTAAGCTACAGTCAAAGTGATGTTTTATCATTGTGATTCGGTATTTATATTATTTAATGTATGTTGGGTTTTCTTCTGTTGATATCAGCGTAAATGGATCAGTGGAGGTTGCAATCATCATAAACATCTTCTCAGAAAAATAGTCACTGAAATATGAAGTTGCATTTAGGATGATTACTTGGAATTGATTTTATCCTATTAAAAGATACTCTAATTACTAAGAAAAAGGAAAAATTACAACACTCTTCATTCTAATAACCCTGATTAGAATCCATTTGCAACAAACTTTAGATGCACAGATTAATATAACTTGAATATATTAACAACAACATGAACAATTCCTCCACACAACAAAAACAATTGGGCAATCATTGTAGCAACTTATTAGGCTCCCTCTGATTTCATTTACATATTTACTCAACATAAGTATTTGACTTTTTCTAGATGAGTGGTTTAGGTATCAAGCTGATGCTACCACTTCTACCATTTCAGTTTCAATATTATTCTATCAGCCACCCTTCCCCCAGTTGCATATTTCCTCCAAAGATGGCTTTGTTCTTTTCAGGCTGATATCCAGCCCCTCACCATTTATCAGAGGGTGACGAATCCCTGTATAGCAGAAACAGAGCAGTTCCCCTGTGCAAGTTTTCCTGAGGCAGCAGGCGCCCAAATGGCTATGCTGGGGCTTCAAGCCAATTTTCTATGGGAAAGTACTATATGCAAGTGGGGGAGAGGCATGGGAATAATGGAGAATCTGTCACACTACAGATCTTTGCTCCTTTTATAAATCAATACGTCCATTAGCAATGAACACCTTCCTCGACCTATGGACTTCCAGAAAATGATGTCCATGTCTTCCAAATAAGACTCTAGCAATTGTGATCCATGTGTTCATCCCCTGAAGGGAGAACTATTGTAACATTCTCTTGTCAAGAGCAAGCTGCCTGGCCACAAGCTGTCTGGCCATTGCTCTATTCTGTTCAAAGACCTTGATCCTAGTCTTCAGGGTCCTTAATTCTCTTGAAGCAGGCTCTCTCCGATATCACCTTTCCATCTGTGACCCAACAAAACAACTATGTTCATTAGGGACATAAAAACAATTATATGCCCAAGCACACCATTTTGGAAGCTAGAAACAAAGCATTTTCAGTGCTGAATCCTAGTCTGTGGAATACCCTAACAGAGGAGAATAGAATGAGTTCTAGTCTATTTTCAGTGTATGACCCACCTTTTTGCAGAAGTCAACCTGCAGTCAGAAACATATGAATGAAGATGGCACATGCCCACTAGGAACTGGACTGGGATCATTAACTCCAGTCGTTTCATAAGTGCCACTTAATAGTAATGAGATGGTAATACAATCACTATCAACCTGGACTGGATTAAAAATAACATCCTAATTTTACCAGACTCCCACTACTAATCTGCTGATCCATCTAGCCCCCTAAAATGTTCAATATTTTATAAATAGAAAAAGGTTAATTGAAAAAGGTGGTTTCATTTAATGCCTATTTTTCTGTGAAATAATAATGGGGAGAACTGATTTTTATTTTATTTTTTATAAAAGCCTATAAAAAGAGCCAAAAAAGCACTAGTTTTTGTTTGCAGTTCAAACATGCTTACATACCTCTACTTGAGTTGAAAACATAATTTACCAAAAGGGATTATAAAGAAGGTTCTCCTTACATTCTTACATTGTGACATTGGATTGAAAAAATGCCAAAAAAATCATTGTATGGTACATATCCTGAATTCTGGAGTGTAGTGGCAAAAATGTATAAAACGTATAATCCAAGTCAGAGCTTTACCTAACAAGGTTCAACTTTCCAATAGAAACATGGTATTTTTATTCTCTTTAATGAACCCAGTCGCCTTCAATAGTGCCATTCAATTAAACTGTTACAGTAAACTCATTTTAATTTCACACTTCCTAGGACAGCTCCTCAGCTGGTGTAAACCAGCTGTAGCCCTCTGTATTTTGGTTGCTCAATAGCTGTATTTTCCTAAAGGAGAGGGAATTCTTTAGTGTCATTTGTAGGACTCGAAGTTTTAAAAATGAATGAAAAGCATCATTTTCAAAAAGACCACTGTGGATATAAATGACCACCAGAAAAACCCTCTGCCTTCATGATTCATTCAATATATCTGATTCACAGTAGTAGTAGTAGAAGGGTGAAAAGAACTTCACAGATAAATTATCTTTTAAGGTTCTTCAAAAGGAGCATATAATAAAAGGCAGTGGCATTTGTGAATGTTCTGAAATAGATTATCACTGTAGAAGCTACATACTTATTTGTAAACTTTCAAGAACTCCCCCCAATGGATTTCTTGAAAGTAGACTGTTACGGTGTAAAAGGGCACACCCTCACTCTAATAGAGAGAGTAGGCTAATGAGTTCTTACGGGCTCAGCCAGCGCTAACCAGACACACCTGTAATGCCTGCTCTGCCTGGAGGGTGGAACCTTGAAAAGGGAAAGCCTGCCACAGGAAGTGGGTGCTGACAGCTGACTTCAGGGATAGATGAGCAAACGGAAAGACAGTTGCAGACCCCGCTGCCCCTGAGACTGTGTCTCCCAGGTATAAAGTGGGACTTACCAAAAGGACAGACTGGAAGAATACACTAACCCTGATCAAGGACTCTAGAGACCGCGTATATGCTGAACCTGAAAGGGATTACCCACCTTTGAGTTCTCCTCTTATTCTGATTTGCCATTATCCAGAATAGGAAGAGGAAAAGGAACCTGTTTGCTTGCTTGGAGAATCCACTGTATGCCATAAGCATGGGAAGGACTCTGTAAGAAGCCCAAATCATGGTCTAGTGGGGACTCAAGGGTGTCCTCAATCATGACATACTACCGATAAAAAAATTAGCAAACATATGGGCATTTTGTCAGGAATTAAAGCAAAAAACAGAAGCATAAACAAAAACAAACAAAATGATATTTTTTTTAAAAATACCTGTAAGTATGTCCCAAATCTCAAAAGACTTCAGCTCTGGCAAACTGTCAGTTGAAGCTACATGAAAGGTGGATGCCATCAACCAGGGAATCCTTTTTACTAGTTTTGGAAAGTTCTTTTATAATAATTGGACCTAAAAATTTATCCTAACTAACCTCCATTGTAAGAAGTTAGTAAAAGTTCATAAAGTATCACAAAAACCTATAGTGTCTGCTGGTGAGAAAAGGTGCAAATGAGACATAGGGCTTGTCTATACTGATGGCTAAATCAGCATTGGTATGATTGATGCAGCGGTGTTGATTTAGCAGTTTTGGTAAAGACAAGCTAAGTCCATGGCAGAGCACTCTCCCGTCAGTGTCTGTACTCCACCTCCCCAAGAGGCAGAAGGTAAGTCAGCGGGAGATGTCTCCAGGGTGACCATATTTCCCAAAAAGAAAACTGGACACCCCCAGCTGCTTGTCAGAGGTCTCCCCCCGATGCTGTTGCCCATCACTGGAACCTTGCAGTGAGCCCCCAATGCTATTCCCCATTGCTGGAAGCCTGGCTCCCCCACACACCAGGATGTAGCCCATCGCTGGAATCCTGAGGGGTTCATTCCACCCCCACGGAAGGTTCTTGCCTGATCTCTGGAACCCTGTGGGGACCCTCATGCTGGAATGCTGCTTCACCCCCCCCAGCCCTGCCTCCCCCCTGCTGGTCTCTCCATTCACCCCCTCCATACTGCACCCCACTTTTTTGACAAAAGTGGGCATTTGTCCTGTTTTCTCTTGCCAACTGATTAAGTCAGCAAACACAAACAGGAGAAATGCCTCCTTTTGGAAAACAGTTGGGACAGCCAGGACAGGGTTTAAAAAAGGGACTGTCCTGACCAAAACAGGATGTATGGTCACCCTAAGTGTCTTCCATTGACACAGCACAGTGTTGACATTGCTGTAAGTCGACCTAAGTTACATCAACTTACGTAACTGAAGTAGCATAACTTAGGTTGACTTACAGTTTAGTGTAAACCAGCCCCAAAAGTGAATAAGTACAAACAAAAGGCCTCCTCATAGAACTAAAGAACTGTGTTAAAATCATGCTTAGAAAACAAGAGAAATATGGGACCAGAAACAGATAGACCAAATCGGAGCGTCAAAAATTAGGCTTAAAACTGGTGACCAAAAGGAAGAGGATCAGCTATTCTTTCCATCAACTTGGGGTGGGAACGGGTGCAGGGAGAAAAAAAAATAAAAAACTGTTCCAGTGAGCTTTACATCATGGCTGCCACCCTCACCATCTCCTGGGAACCCAAGATCTACCTTTAAACCATTGGGCCTTAGTTGTTCTGATCCTAAGAGATGTCTTGACCCAACTAGGCTAGAAAGAAGGATTCAGGTGACATTGCCACCTCCACCAGCTCTGGCTAAATCCCAGCCACGATCTGGGATGTAAGACTTTGTCCTTCTACATCTTATTTGTTCTCTTTCCTATCCCTCTCCTTTTTCCTTCTATCTAACAAGAATCTGGCAGAGCTGG